ATTCTGAAACTCCATATGACATACTCTGGACATGTGGCAAGGCAGGACTGGTCCTTGGAGAGGTATGTCATGCTTGGGAGGGTGGAGGGACAGTGTAGGAGAGGAATTTCAAAGAGATGGATTGATTCAGTCACTGGGCTTAGTGAGGATAGGTGTGCTGGAGACAGTAAGATTGGCAAGGGATAAAGCAGGGTTTAGGGCTGTTGTATATAGGATCACTATGAGCTGCAGGCGACTCAATGGCATATAACAACATAGTTGAATAGCAGCACACAAATGTGTAAGGCAGAGTAGCAGGTACAAGGAGAGAAAGGCTCAGAGAAAGATAGTATAGGAGTATTTTAAACAGAGAATCAGAGAAGGCTTCACACTCTGAATGACCCTGAAGCCCACATCAAATGTGGATATGCAAAGGCAGAGCACAAGGAATTACAAACAAAGGAAAAAGAACAGAAAGTGATAATTATTCAAGTACTGTTTAAATCATGTTTTATTCTAATGAGCACTCACTAAGTGTCAAGCATTAGAAATGCAAAGATAAATGACTCCCAATTCTTAGGGGGCTCAAAGTGTTGAGTGGTGAACAGTAAGAAAGTATAGAAGGGAAAGGAAATCTACTTAGAAATATAGGTTAGAGTTGAGTTTAAGGAGCATCATTGACTCTAACCAATCACAGGAGTTTAAATTTTCATCTACATATAATTGTCACTAGATATTTTTGAGATTTGTGAGTCAAGATGGGCTTTTGAAGACTGTGTGAAACTAGCAGACTAGAGGGAGGTAAAGTAATTTTTTTTAAAAACCATTTAAGTCATTACACAAGCTGCAATGAAGGCTTGAACAAAACACATAAATGATTAGCCAGTTGCTATGGTGATGAATTTGGTTTTTTAAATTTTTTATTTTATTTTATTATTTTGTGTGTGTGTACTGTCAAATCAGATCTGACTGGTACAAGAAGAGATTGCCCCTCCTTCCCCAGCAGAGCATCTGGTGGATTTGAACCATGTTCCTCTGGGATTGCAGTGCACCTTCTTGTCACTTGGCCACCAGAGCTCCCTTGGTGATGAATTTGTAAGACTTGTTAAAAGGATGTACAGGAAATGGAAAAATTAAAGCTACCCTGAAGGTTTGGAGCTGGGGAAGTAGGAGGGAGAAACTGAAGGAAGATCAAGTTTGGAAGGAAATTCTTGCATTCAGTTTGGAATACAATGAATTGGTGGCATACCCAGTAGGAAGTTGTGCAGCTAACACAAATGGTGCGCTTCTCTGACAGTTCGAACCCACCAGCAACTCTAGGCCTGAAAGATGAACAATCTCCTTCCCTGAAATTTACAGCCTCAGAAAACCCACTGGAGAGTCAGCTATGACTTGGTTCTGACTCAACAGCAATATGCTTTTTGAGAAAACACATTCTGGTAGAGAAATACAATAGGCACTCAGAAAAGTTCTCTTTTTTAAAAAAAACCACAAAAACAAACCCTCTATTTTATTGTGATTTGAGTGGTTTACGAAATAAATTGATTCTTAGTTCAATCATTCATATACATTTTGTTCTATAATATTAATTTCAATACCCACCATGTAATTGCACTTTCCCCATTCCTCCCACTAACTCTGAGTTCCATTAGTTTTTCCTAAGTCTTTAGTGGTACTGTGATGATCATTCCCTTTCTGTACAATACCTTTCTCTTCACAGAAAAATAATGCTTACAGTTAAGTCTAGAACAGAGATTTGGGGCTATCTCAGTAAAATCAACAAAATATTGACTAGCGGTTACTGGGATTTTACCAAGTTTTTCACAATTTATTTCACTTCATCTTCATCACAACCATACATTACGGTACCATTATTACTCTCGTGTTACACTTGAGAAAACACTGGCTCAGGAGTTAAGTAACTGAAGTCAAGCTAGAACTTTCCCAGTCACATACATGGCTAAAAAAAAGTGCAGCGGTGGGATTTGAACTGCCTAATATCAAAGGAAAAGAACTTATCTCTAAATTACTTCTCTGGAATAGAAAAGATCGCTTAAGTCATGAATTATTAGTCAAAATGGCCAAAGAGAAACATTAACTTAAAACAAAAGCTTTTACTTGTCTACCTGATTGATATTGATTTTCTTTGGCTCTCTCCTCTCAATAATTCTAGAATCTCTTTTCTGAGATTGAAATTGTCAAGAGTCCCAAGAAAACAAGTCATATGCAAGAAATCTACTGTGTGTGGCACTGAGCAGGCTATGGATCAATCATAAAAGATTTTAGAAAAAGGTGACTGTCACAGGCAACATTTACAGTAACTATTATTTATTTTAAAAATATCTTGGGCATACTTGCAAGTGGACATTTAAAATATAACAACTGTTACCTATTTGCCTCAAATAAGAAAAGTAATAAGAGAGTCAGGAGGAGGAGGAGGAGGAGGAGGAGGAGGAGGGAATGGAACTGCCTTCATGAATTAATTTTCCCCTTTGTTATGAGACCAGAAGAACTAGATGGTACCAGTTACCCTGAGGAGAGTTCAAAGGGAGTGAAAATCTGGAGCAGAACTTAAATTCTTATGGAATTCAAACTTTCTGAAGCCAATAAGGCTGCATAAGTCCCCAAGACTGGTCTTGAGACGATACTTAACCTTGAAACTATGAAGCAGTAATATTCCCTCGATTGTTCTTTAAACCTAACAACAGTCTAGGTTAGCTGCTTTAAAAAAAAATCCGTGCGTTTTGTGACATTTTTTAAAAATACGGGATCAAATCATTAACATCAACTGAATAGGTTAAATAGCATAGGGGGAAATGAGTTTATGTCAATAGGGAAGGCATAAATCAGAAAAGGAGCATAAGAATGGCTGCACAACTTGAAGAATATAATCAACATCACTGTTTCATACATATGAAAATTGTTGAACTGGTATATGTTTTGTTATGTATGTTTTTAACAGCAAAGCTCTGCTGGCCTAGTGGCAAGAAGCTGCACTATAACCCGAAGGCATCCACCCCCTGCTCTGTGGAAGAAAAATGGATAATCTCCTCCTGTATAATAGACTGCCTCTGAAAACCCACCAGAGGTTCAGCTATGGATTATTTCCAACTCAAGGGTACACAACAGCAACATATACAACATATACATATATACACACACATATCTCTTAGACATATTCTGAAATATTTAATCTCTGTCCTATTATGCCCTATAGAGTACTTTTTCCTGTCAAATTTCTTCAATTCTTTATAATGATAATTCTTTAGAATAAGTTTGGCTCATTAGAGGAACTGTTACTAAATCAAAGTAGTGTATGTAACCATTTCCATTAAATTGCCAAGAAATCAGGAGAACAACCACTTGGCCAACTGACTGGAAGAGATCTATATTTGTTCCCATCCCAAAGAAGGGTGACCCAACAGAGTGTGGAAACTATAGAACAATATCATTAAGCTCACATGCAAGCAAGATTCTACTGAAGATTATCCAAAAATGACTGGAACAGCAAATCAGCAGAGAACTGCCAGAAGTCCAGGCTGGTTTTAGAAGGGGTCATGGTACTAGGGATATTGTAGCTGATGTTAGATGGTTCTTAGCTGAAAGCAGGGAATACCAGAAGAATGTCTATCTGTGTTTCATTGATTATGCAAAGGCGTTTGACTGCGTGGATCATAACAAACTGTGGCTGACTCTCAGAAGAATGGGAATCCCAGAACATTTAATCGTGCTAATGCGAAACTTATACTTGGACAAAGAGGCAGTCGTCAGAACAGAGCAGGGTAACACCGCATGGTTCAAAATTGGGAAGGGTGTACGCCAGGGATGTGTCCTATCTCCATACCTTTTCAACCTGTATGCAGAGCAGATTATCCAAATGGCTGGACTCTATGAGAAGTGTGGCGTCAGGATTGGTGGAAGATCTATTAACAATCTGCGTTATGCAGATGACACAACCCTGCTTGCTGAAACTGAGGAGGACCTCATGCACTTCTTGCACAGGGTCAAGGACTGCAGCCTTCAGTATGGACTTCAGAGGCTCAATGTCAAGAAGACAAAGATTCTCACCACTGGACCAATTGGCAGCATCAGGATGGATGGCGAAGAGACTGAGATTGTTCACAGCTTCAGTTTGCTCAGGTCAACACTCTTGGCACCAGTAGCCAGGAAATAAAAAAAGTATTGCAATGGGAAAGTCAGCTGTTAGGGACCTCTCTAAAGTACTATAGAGCAATGGTATATCTCTGGAGACTAAAGTGTGTCTGATACAGGCCATGGTCTTTGCAATCACTTGTTATGCATCAGAGAGTTGGACAATGATTAGGGAGCATAGAAGGAGAATTGATGCCTTTGAGCTGTGGTGCTGGAGAAGAGTATTGAATGTACCATGGACTGCCAAGAAAACAAACAGATTCATCCTGGACAGGGTTAAACCAGGCTACTCCTTGGAGGCAAGGATTCTGGGGCTTCGTCTGACATACTTTGGACATGCTGTAAGGAGGGACAGGTGCTTGGAGAGGGCCATCATGCTTGGGAGGGTGAAGGGACAGCGCAGGAGGGGAAGACCCTCTATGAGGTTGACTGATTCAGTGACTGGGGTAATCGGGATGGGTGTGTCAGAGGCAGTGCAATTGGCACAGGATAGAGCAGGGCTTAGGGCTGTTGTACATAAGGTTGCTATGAGTTGCAAGCGACTCGACGGCACATAACAACAACAACAACAATTCAGACTTTGGTTAAATTCTTCTGGGCAAAATCAGAACCCAGCATCTTAACATGAATCTGTGAACGAGGTGGAAAAAAATAAACACTAAATAACGGGCTAGCATCTTAACATGGACCTGTGTATGAGTTGGAAACAATAAACACTAAATAATGGGCTAGTGTTTGTCCAGGAGAAGGATATTAATAACCCTTCATTTAGTTGAAATGAACTTTCAATTGTTTTTCTAGCAGTGGTAAGCTGCATACCTCTGTGGCTAAATAGGTAAATAAACTTTTACTTCATTGAACATACACACCTGGAACATTTGCATCTTCACTTCCAAGGATGTCTTCCCAACCCAGCTAACATGACCACTAAACTTAATGTCCTGTTCTGGGCTTATGCTCTTCTTACACATATCTGGAAAACAGAAAATTAAAGCCTCAAGAAACAATTAATCCAAAGGACAAGAGGACCACACAAACTGCAGCCTCTAGGAGCTTGATATCTAAAGAGTTAGCTGGTGCCTGGCTATGACTACTCACTGCTCTGGCCAAGATTCACAAAGTAGGTTCAAAACAGTTAAAGAAAAATGATGGACAATATTCTAAATCACAAAGCAGTCAGATTTACTGGTCTGATACAGACTGTTGGAACCCTTGAGATTATGGTCTTTGGCATCCTTCAAACCTGGATCTGAACCTACTTCCAAAGATCATCTTTCAGCCAAACAATAAACAGGCCTATAGAGTGATAAAGAACACCTGTGGGGAATGTACTCCTCATAAAAAGCAGTTAGAAGAGATCTAAAAGGCTGCATATGCAAAAAAGTCCCCCAAAGTTCATCAAGCAAGAAAGAGCAGGAAAGATGGGCAAATGAAAATGGGGAAACCATTGAGAAGGGGAAAGAATGCTCTTACAACAAGGGGATTGCAGCAAAGCGCAAAATGTATATAATGTATTGAAAGAATCCTAATTTGTCCAGTAAACTTTTCACACAAACCACAAAAAAATGTTAAAAAAAAAACCAAACTAGAAAAGTGCTATGTGACCAAACCATAAAAAAACATTCTGTAATGTACATAGGCAGTTCCAATAACATATCTTTCTTTTCTTCGAAACTAAAATATTTTTGACAATACAAAAAATACTTAAATGTAAAATTAAGCACTTTGACATATAACATTTCAAACATTTTTACACACAAACAAAAATTTCCCATAAACAGAAAATATCTCCCCTAATGGCATCCACTTCCTAAACAACATGCCTCTAGAAACTCTATGAACTTTGATAAACATAGATAGTTATAGAAAGGCTTCATTCAGGCTTTTGTTCATAGGGTCGCGATGAGTCGTACTCAACTCGACGGCAATGAACAAAAACAACAATCTAAAAAATATCTTCTACTTACTAAGAATATTGAATACACAAAAAATCATACTGCTTACCTATTTTGTCCACAAGGGCTGTAACTATGGATAAAGGACAAGTCTTAGCTGCCTCAATTCTGCTGTGTTTGTAGCAAATAAGAACTATAGGAAAATAAGAGCATATCAAATATGCATGAGAATGATTGTATGAAACACGGTATGAATGATGAACGGTGTGAAAAGCAATGTATACCGAACTTTGTAAGTAAACCAATTTTTTTTTAAAAAAGAACAACAAAAAAGATAATATTAAATAGAAGAAACACTAAATTATTTATTAACATTTTCAGTTTACTTTGTGATATTCACAAAAATTCTTACCTTGCTTTGAAGGCCAAGATTCCCACATTTCATTTGAGATCTTACTACATGATAAAAGACTTTTAGATCTTCCATTCTAACTGTTCTCTCAATTATAGAGGTAAGGAAATAAAACCAAAGCTCAACACCCAGGACCACCAAGTGCCTTGTGACCGCTCCACAGAGACAGTGTCTCTTGTCCAGAATAATAATCCAGCATCTAAGTCTGACAGCATCAAACAAATTATTTTCAGAAAACACAAACAAAATCAAAAGAATTCAGCTATTTTCCTTCTGACGCTAGGAATTGTAAAACAGCTATTTAGTCCATTTGTCCTTCTTCCTCCTAACATTCTCAGTTCTTACACTATCATGTACTAATCTATATACTTGTCATAGTTCAACAAGTATTTGTACATGCTAAGCTTGGTCTTGCATACCTTCAAATATTAACTTAGTTAAGGTTGGAACATTTATTCATTTGTTCACCATCTGGATGTCTTCCTTGGTGAAGTGTCTGTTCATATTTTGTGCTGCTTTGTTCACGATAGCAAAGAGTTGGAAACAACCCAAGTGCCCATCAACAAACAAATGGATAGAGAAGTTGTTGTATATTCACACAATGGAATACTATGCAGTATTGAAAAACAAGGAAATCACAAAATATTATACAAAATGGGTGACCCTGGAGGACATTATGCTGAATGAACTATCTCTGTCACGAATGGACAAATACTGCATAATGCCACTGTTATAAAACAGGACTTACATCGGGGTTGGGGGGAAACTAAGAAGAGAGGAGATAAACAATATACACTGCATTGAAATAGATGAGGGAAAAAACTATCTAAAAGGAATATATGAGTGGTGACTCAGCATACCCTGGCCACCAGAGCATGATGTCAGCAACTGAAATGACAGTCTCCCCCTTCAGGAATCTGGATAAATTCTCAGATTCAGGACTGCTGAGTCACAGCCTCCCCAAGTATGAAAAGTGAAAAGGCCCAGAGCTATCTTCTAGAGACCAAAAAAAAAAAAGGATCTTGAATGTTTTGGAGTCTCTTTATAAAATGATTTTTGAGATAATTAAAAACTCAAATTATTTAAAAAAAGGAATATATGATCAATCAACTCTGATGCATAACAAGTGATTGCAAAGACCATGGCCTGTAACAGACGCACCTTAAGTCTCCAGAGAGACACCATTGCTCTTCAGTACTTTGGAGAGGTCCCTAACAGCAGACTTTCCCATGGCAATATGTCTTTTCATTTCCTGGCTACTGGTGCCAAGAGTGTTGACTATGGAGCCAAGCAAACTAAAGCTGTGAACAATCTCAATCTCTTCACCATCCATCCTGATGCTGCCAATTGGTCCAGTGGTGAGAATCTTTGTCTTCTTGACATTGAGTCTCAACTCATATTGGAGGCTGTAGTCCTTGACCCTCTGCAGCAAGTGCTTCAGGTCCTCCTCAGTTTCAGCAAGCAGGGTTGTGTCATCTGCATAATGCAAATTGTTGATAGATCTTCCACCAATCTTGACCCCACATTTCTCCTCATAGAGCCCAGCCTCCCGGATGATCTGTTCTGCATACAGGCTGAAAAGGTATGGAGATAGGATGCATCCCTGGCATATGCCCTTCCTAATTTTGAATCATGCAGTGTTCCCTTGCTCTGTTCTGACGACTGCCTCCTGGTCCAAGTATAGGTTTCGCATTAGAACGATCAAGTGTTCTGGGATTCCCATTTTTCTTAGAGTCAGTCACCGTTTGTTATGATCCACACAGTCAAACGCCTTTGTATAGTCAATGAAATACAGATATACATTCCTCTGGTATTCCCTACTTTCAGCTAAGATCCATCTAACATCAGCTACAATATCCCTAGTACTTACCAAGGAGGATAGAAGGAGACTGATGCCTTTGAGCTGTGGTGCTGGAGTATTGAGAGTATCATGGACTGCTAGGAAAACAAACAGATTCATCCTAGAAAGGCTTAAACCGGCTAGCTCCTTGGAGGCAAGGATTCTGAGGCTCCGTCCAACCTATTTTGGACATGTTGTAAGGAGAGACCGGTCCTTGGAGAAGGACATCATGCTTGGGAGGGTGCAGGGACAGCGCAGGAGGGAAAGGCCCTCTAGGAGGTGGATTGATTCAGTGACTGGGGCAATAGGGATGGGAGTGTCAGAGACAGTGTGATCAGCACAGGACAGAGCAGAGTTCAGGGCTGTTGAACATAGGGTCGCTATGAGTCGCAAGGGACTTGATGGCACATAACCACAAACAACAACAACAACAACAACATATGATTAGGCATTATTTGCATGACAAGAGTCCAGAATAAGAGCTGCATAGTAAAGTGGATTGGTGGAGGGGAGGACTGTATAACAATGAAAGAATTTTTTCTTTTTTCAAAGAGAAAAGTGAACTGGGGGGAGGGGTGGTCAGGGAGTAAAATGTGCAACAATGAATGAATGGGGGGGCAATAAGTAAAATGAAAAAAACTTTTAAAGGCACAGGAAGGAAAACAGAGTTTCTCACATATTTAAGATACAAGTACACCTCAGCCAGGGGCTGCACAGCTACCCTGGGCAACTTCACCAAGGCCATCTTTGAGACCTATACCTATTTGATGCCAGATCTCTGGAAAGAGACGGTGTTCACTAAGTCTCCCTACCAGGAATTGACGGATCATCTTGTAAAGACTCACACCAGAGTCTCTGTGCAGAGGACTCAGGCTCCAGCTGTAGCCACCACATAGTGGATTTTCTTTAACAAATAAAGTGACTTAAGTTCTAGGGGGAAAAAAGATACTAGTAACAACTAAAAGACTGATATGGTTATTTGCAGAATTTAAGATGACAGAAAGCAGAAAATAAAACCATGGGTATAACCAACATTTAAACTCAAGCTCATTGCTGTAGAATTGAAACTGACTCACAGCTAACCCTCCAGAGAGTTTTCGGAGGCTGTAAATTATGCAAGAAGAGTTTGCCCATCTTTCTCCCACAGAGCTGTTGATGGATTAAAACTGTCAGAGAGGCCTTTGGGTTAGTAATATAACTCCCAATGGACTACAGCATCAGAGCTCCCTATAACAAACATGAAGTAATCAATACAGAAGAACCTACAAAAGAGACTGGGAAAGAGTACCACAAAAGCAAGAGAAAATGTCGAAAGTCTAAGAAGGACCTCAACAATATTAGAAACTGTAAAATGTTCAGACAAGCCTTGAAATTACCCAGGAGTAATAAGGAGTCAATAGTGAGTCTGACAAGACCAGATTCAGTAGCACATACAGGGCACAACTGACTGGAAAATAACAAATTAACAGGAGGTTAGGAAGTAGAGGCAATGAGAGCAATGGATTTTTTTCCCCTCCAATTCTTTCTTGAAACTCAGCTATAAAGGTCAACAGTTTGAGAGTGTTTTAAGAGAAGGGGCTTTATCTAGACTCCTCTTAAAGATAGAAGAACCTTGAATATGTTTATAAGTTGAAGGACAAGTTGAGCATAGGCTTGAGCTATGAAGGCAAAAGTATAACAAATAACACAAGTTTTAAGAAACTATAGGAATGCAATTAGTGAGTAGCTGATAAGGATTAGTCATTAATAAGAGTAATGAGAAAATGGGGTATGGCAAAGAAGTTGGTAAATACAGAGACAACTAAGTCAAATACACACACCAAAAGCCACATATATACATAAATTTAAAGGCTAAGAAGAATTTTTATCTATGTTTACTTCATCTGGAAAAAAATAACTTGAGAAAAGCCAAACAATGGACTTAGATTGATTATTTTAAAAGTTATGAATAAAGTTTGAAGACTTCTCACTTTCTCAACAGTTCAGGTCTAAGGTCTCTAAGTGAGAACAAGCAAAGATAGCAGAGAGCATGTGCTGGAGACTAAACCAGGTGAAGAGTATGGCTGCATGTGGCCTCATATGGGTGTCAAAAGCCTGATAAAGACCATGGTCTTTGCAGTCACTTGCTATGCATCAGAGAGCTGGACAATGACAAGTGAGGACAGAAAGAGAATTGATGCCTTTGAACTGTGGTGCTGGAGGAGAGTACTGAATATACCATGGACTGCTAAGAAAACAAACAGGTTCACCCTTGAGAGGGTTAAACCAGGCTCCTCCTTGGAGGCAAAGATTCTGAAGCTTCATCTGACATACTTTGGACATGTTGCAAGGAAAGACCAGTCCTTGGAGAAAGACGTCACGCTTGGGAGGGTGGAGGGACAGCGCAGGAGAGAAAGACTCTCATGAGTTGGATTGATTCTGTGACTGTGGTAATGGGGGTAGGTGTGTCGGAGACAGTGAGATTGGCACAGGACAGAGCAGGGTTTAGGGCTATTGTACATAGGGTGTCTATGAGTCGCAAGACAACCACAACAGAAAGGTCTTAAGGAAGGGGAAGTAGCGAAGTAGAAAATTAATAAATAATGAATACTTATTAATATGAGTGAAAGGAAAGACAATATGGAATGAATGGATGATCAGGCACTGTGGGTATTATAATCAATGCTATGGAACAAAATTTGCATGAATGAAAAAAATTTGCTTTGTAAAGTTTCATTCATATTACAATTGGGAAAACAAAAAAAAAGAACCTGGGTCCCTTGAAGATCTGACTTATTCCATTATTGGAGAAAGAGAAGTACAAGACAAACCTAGAACATCTTACACCAGACAGGGAGGAAGTATGTAAAGAATAGTGGGCTAACATCTCCCCATCCCCTCTCTCCCCCAAAAAATCAAACTAACAAACCAGAAGTCAGACTGAAGGGACTGAGGCAGACCTAGGATAACCTGATCATCAAAACAGCTGATTAAAATTTAGAAGCAGTAAGTTTATATTAGTGAGGGAGGAGGAATTTGAAAAAGAGTGAATATGGGTGTACAACTTAACATCATAATCAATGTTACTGTACATATCCTCAACAACAACAACAACAAATCATTTTAAAAAGAAGACAGACGATAGTGTGCTGGGAGAGGAAACCATGTCACTTGGGAATATTTTGCTTTAAAAAACTAAGGAAAAGCTAACTGACTCAAATGACTGAATAAGAGAAGCTATTTAAGATCACTGAACGGTACACAAGACCGTTAAATAGCAAATGTTGCAATACTTAAGTATTTACCACAGTACACTTAAAAAATATAGATGCTAATAACATAAAACAAGAGTCCTGAGCCCACACTAATTTACAATATAAATTTAAAAAACCCAAAATATAAATTTAAAGAGCAATGATTTTGAAAAATACTACTTAATATGGGAGAGATTGGCGAGCATTATGCTAAGTGAACTGAATCTCATAAGGACAAATATTGCATAAGATCATTAATGTAAAAATAGAAGGATAACTAGTAAGATGTGTACAAAAATCCAAAGGGGGAAATGGAGGGAAGAGCAGGGCTAAGGATGCGGAAGGGGGAAATCACAATTTCACAAAACTTGGTGGGCAGAGGGAGCAGGTGAAGGAATTAGAAAAGATCCAAGGGCGATCTGAAAAGGTGGGGCAATGGTGGGCATACCAATGGTGATTACTTTTATAAAACACAACGTATTGTTGTAAGGAGAGACCGGTCCTTGGAGAAGGACATCATGCCTGGGAGGGTGGGGGGATGGCGCAGGAGGGGAAGACCCTCTATGAGGTGGATTGATTCGGTGACTGAGGTAATCAGATGAATGTGTCAAAGACAGTGCTATTGGCACAGGACAGAGCAGAGTTTAGGGCTGTTGTATATAGGGTTGCTATGAGTCACAAACGACTCGACGGCACATAACAACAACAACAATGCAAAATAAAATGTGTGAAACACAATGAAAATGAAAGATTGTATAAAACATAAAGTATGTGAATTAAACATAATATAAAGGAATTATTTTATAAAAATCAATAAAAACTATTCTTTAAAAAAGAAAAAAACAAGGTATGAGAATGATCATATGAAACACATGTGAATGAGAAATGTACGAAACAAAATACATGAATTTTGTATGCAAACCAATACAAATACTTTTTAAAAAATAAACCAATAAATTCAAAGTATAATGAGGAATGGGATATTTTCATGGTCTTACCTGGGGGAAGAGAGTAGTAGCTTTACAGTGAGGAAGTCTGGCAGACATCACTTTAATCAAATAATCCAAGTTAACAAATCAAACCCATGCACATTTAATAGGATGCAATAAGAACACAACATCCTTTCTGTAGGGAGCTCTGGTAGCTTAGTGGTTAAGGAGTTGTGCTGGCAATCCAAAGGCACATTGTTTAAATCCAACAGTTGCTGCATGGGAGAAAGATCTCCCATGCAATGAACTGCCTTTGAAAACCTGCTGGAGGGTCAGCTAAGGGTTAGTTCTGATTCAAGAGTACACAGTAACAACAACATCCCTTCTGTAAGATTCCTGGAAAAGATGTATAAGCTAAATCTAATCATGGGAAGGCCTAACACAAATCCAAATTTAGAGATACTGTAAACAATTAGCCTGTAACTTTCAAAAATGTCAGCCATGGACATTAAGGGAAGACTCCTGACAAGACAACTAAATGCAACATGTAATGCAGAACCGACTCTTTCTGCTATAAAGGACATTACTGAAACCACTGGCAAAATATAAATGGGATCTGAAGACTGGATAGTATAATGTATAAGTGTTAATGTCTTATCTTCTGTGATGTAAGAATTTGTCCTTATTTATAGAAAATACACATTAAAATAGTTTTGGGTAACATGTCATCACTGTTGTTTTTGTTAAGTGCCATCAAGTCTCCTGCAACTCATGACCAGCAGCTCTGACTCTTGCCCCATCCTGAGCCGGTCTCATTGACTCCAACACACCTACCCCCACTGCCCCAGTTTCTGTATCAATCCATCTCATCTAGGGTCTTCCTCTCCTATGCTGTCCCTAAACCCTTCTAAGCATGATGTTCTTATCTAAGGACTGATCCCTCTTAGCTACGTGTCCAAAGTGTGTGAGATGGAGCATCAAAATCCTTGCCTCCAAGGAGGAACTTGATTTCATCCTCTCTATTTGTTCTCCTGATGGCCTATGGTATATTCAATACCACATCATGAAATGTTCCACCACCACAACTCAAAGGCATCAATTCTTCTTCTGTCATCCTTAGTCACTGTCCAGCTCTCTGATGTACAGCAAGTAACTGATTTCCTAACTGCTGGTGTCAAGAGTGTTGACTGTGGAGCTGAGTAAGTTTTAACTGTTAACAACCTCAATCTCTTCTCTATCTATCATAGTGCTGCCAATTGGCCCAACAGTGAGAATCTTTGTCTTCTTGATGTTGAGAGTCAATCCATACTGAAGATTATAGTCCTTGACCTTCTGCAGCAAAGTACTTCAGGTCCTCCTCAGTTTCAGCAAGCAGGGTTGTGTCATTTGCATAACATAGGTTGTTGAGTCTTCCTCCAATCCTGATGCCACAATCCTCATCACAAAGCCCAGCTTCCCGAATGATCTATCCTGCATATAGACTGAAAAGGTACTCTCTGCTTTCTGCCAAGATCCATCTGACATTGGTGATGACGTCTCTAGTGCCACAACCTCTTTTAAACGCAATTTGTATTTCTGATAGTTCTCTGTCAATGTACTATTCCAGTTGTTTCTGGACAATCTTGTGCAGGATTTTGCTTGTGTGTGATATTATAAACAACTTAACCTCATATGATCCAATAAAAATGTTTTCATATTATATTTGCTACTTTTCTAAAACTTTAAAATGGCTTTTTAAGTTTTTTGAAAGAAATGTGTGCTCTATGGCTAGTTCGTTAAAACACCTGTCTTGTAGTTTTTAGAAAAAAAGAATTCCACTAGGAGGAATCTATGGGTTGTTCTTATTTTTAGTCTGGGTTTTGTGGAATCTATGTTTACAGAAAAAAATTATGACAATCCTCTTCTTCATCTGTTCTCTTTGAACATGAGAGGGAGGGGGAAAGTCCTTTCCAATTACAGGATTCAGGACATAAGCATCTGTTGTTGTTGTTGTGTACTGCTGAGTCAAAACTGACCTATAGCTGACCCTCCAGCAGGTTTACAGAGGCAGGAGGAGACTGTGTACCTTAGGGATTGCAGCGCAACTTCTTGTCACTAGGACACCAGAGTCCAAGCATCTATTTTTGTTTTTGTATACCATAGATTCGGAATTGACCCATAGCTGACCCTCTAGTGGGTTTTCAGAGGCCATTAATCACACAGGAGTAGACTGCCCATCCTTCTCCCGCCGAGCAGCTGGTGGCCTCAAACTCTCTGCCTTCAAGACTGCAGCACAACTTCTTGCCACTAGGTCACATAGTCCATAGAAAAACTGCACTGCTAACCCTCTCTGAAGGTTAAAATCCACCGACGGGTCAGCTATGAGTTGGTTTTGACCCCCTGACAATGAGAGAGAGAAAAAGGAAAAAAATATCAGTACCTCCTAAGCTGTCAAGATCCTCAAGAATCCTGCCAAATCTGTGAAATAAAGCAAACTGTTAACTAAATGAAAATAACAATTATCTACCTTTATTAATAAATATCAAACTTTAGGGTGATAAAAATCTTCTATAATTTACTGTGATGATGGTTACAAAACTCTAATTACATTCAACGAAATGAATTGTACACTTTAAATTGGTGAATTGTATGAAGTGTGAATTATATATCAAAGATGCCTTTAAAAAATAAAGACAAATAAAAATAGCATCATTACCTTACAGTGTTTTGAACAGTCAAATACTTCTCTCGTAATTCAGGTTCACTGCCCAAAGGCAAGAGAACTTCAGTATAACTGTCTTGCATTCTCCTCAGTGGCAGTTCTTCCTGTGACTTAGCCAAAAAACTACGAAGTGATTTCCTTTCCTCCATTGCTTTCACATGGTCTCTGAGGAAAAAGAATACAAACTTCATAGAACACAAGGTCAATGCTATCACACAATTCTAGTGACATAGTCAATGCTACCAAAGGAGGAAAGAGAAGGTGAAAGAGAGGTAGGTGACCCACCTCATCTCCTCTTCCATCCTCCCCTCCCTCTTTTCCCTCATACCATTTTTGGTAAAAGTTCTTACATTTGTACTCAAGAAAAAACATTTAAAAGTAATACCAACTCAATTCATTGCCATCTGGTCAGAAACAGCTGACCCTCCGGTGGGTTTTTTAAGAAGCTGTAAATCGCACTGGAGGAGACTACCCAACACCATCCCTCAGAGCAGCTGGTGGATTTGAACTGCCTGACTTTGGGTTAGTAGTGCAACTGCTTACCCACTAGACCACCAGAGCTCACAAAAAGTAATATAGATATACTCAAATGGCTCAAATACTCCCTCTCATTAAAAAATTACTGTAAAAAAGTTTACTCAAAGAAGAGAATGCCAGTGTATGTCACTGAGTTGACTTCAACTAATAGAGGCCCTACAGGACAGAGTAGAAGTGACCTACCAGGTTTTCAAAGCTTTAATCTTTACAGGAGCAGATCACAAGTCTTTTCTCCCTTGGAGATGGTGAGTTTGAACCACTAAGCTTCTGGTTAGCAGCCAAACACTTAACCATTACTCTATCAAGTCTCCTTTACAAAATAGAATGTTTGATAGCAAGCTAAAAAATATTCAGAGTTGGATATAACCATGCATATAATACAGGCTAAAGAATATTATGGTCACTGAACTCCCATCTCTCACCTTGACAATTCTCATTTTCTCACTTGCCTCAGTTCTCTCTCTGCCTTCAATTTCAGGAAAGAAAAAGAAGAAAAATGGAGCACATCCAAATGAAGTATGGAAGGTAAAGCAAATAAAGGAAAGAGGTGGAACATATAAAAAAAGTGAAAGGAAGGGAAGGAAAAGAAGAGAAAGTAAAGGTAAAAGAGAAAAGAGATAAGAGAATAAGGAACTAAAATGTTGACAGTATCAATAATTAAAATGTCTTTCTAAGCTTCACTTATGTAATACAAATGTCAGGAATGTTTAGTATTACTTCAAGTGTCTAGATGTAAATTCAAGTCTATGAAAAACAGAGGAACAGGTAAAATGACACCAGATGAATCCAGCGTATGGAACATTTTGCATGTCAAACGATTTTACCTTTTAAAACCAAGCTCATAGGAAAAAAGGGGAGAGACAACTAAATTAAGGAAATGCATGATTGTTGATTTTGTCAGGTAAACAACTATCCTTACTTGTTGGAGATGCATGCTGACATGCCAGGTCTATAATTTACTTAGAAATTGTCCAGTCAAAATAAGTGCATATATAAAACAAATTAGGCAAAATAATAACAATTAATGAACCTGGCTAGTGGTTATACAGGTGTTCACTCTTATTACTTTTTATTATGAAATTTTTCATAAAAGAGTTAAGTTCATCAGACAATTTATAAATCAATGATAAGATTGTTGGGGTTTTTTCATCTTATTTTAGCCTCAAAATTACAAAAATGGTGTTTTTCCATTTTGCAGTAAAGAATTACTGAAAGAAAGAGAAAGATTGGCCAGGTTAATTATAAACAGGCAATACAGGAGTCAGGTTGTATGACATAACAGAAAACTCTGATACTTATTTAATTTCTCTGAGACTCAGATTCCTTACATCTTTAAAAAAATGAAAGACCTATATTCCACAAGTATTTGACCAGTTTTGTTATGTGAATCAGTAAAGTAATACAGTCAATGTACTATGGAAAGCATAGTTACTATTATGTGCCATCGAGTCAGAACTGACCCATAATTGACCTTCCTGTAGGTTTTGAGACACAAAACCACATGGGAGGAGACTGTCCATCTTTCTCTCATGGAGCAGCTGGTGGATTTGAACTCTACACCTTTGAGTGTGTAGCACAACTCCTTCCCCTATGCCACCAGAGATCCCTATGAAAAGCACAGAGTACATTGGAAATCACATTATTTTATGACAGTGATGTATCAACTGACAAGTATGTTTTAATATTGTTCTTCTCTCACAAGCAAAAAAATTTCCAACCCATCTCCAAGCAGAGAGTCCACGATCCCTACAAAAAGACCACTAACTGAGCCTAGAGATAGCCTAGCACAACATTTTGGGGATAAAAGCATAAATGAAGACAAGAATGCATACCTCCAGTTTGTGGATGCTCCCACTATCTCCCGCAACTTATTTCGAACTGAAAAAAAAAAAATAGAGGTTACTCTACAAAGCAAATATGAAAAGTTGATTGTGGCAGTGAGCTCAAGAATTATAAAAGCAATGCATGCACTCAAAGCTTTAAAGATCCAAGGATTTACCTTTAACGTCACAACAAAGAGCTCAAAGAAGGGATTAGGCCTCTGTTCCCTTAAAACCTTAACTGACCCTCAGTGCAAAAAAACTAGTGTCAATCAATGTGGTCTGTATAGCCAAATGAAAACAGATAATTCCAATCACTTATCCACAGTGTAAGTACATGAGTCCCTTTAGGATGGAAATACTATGAGCAGGATCCACACTTATTTTCTTATAGGTAGTGTTAGGTCAAATTAAGTTTGATACTAATATTTGGCCATCAAAATATATATGTCTGAGCCTCTTTATAATTTATTGTTTCTACAAAAACAACAACAACAAATTTATAATTATGATGATGGTGAAGAATATAGAATATACCACGGGTTGCCTAAAGAACATACAAATCTGCCTTGGAAGAAGTGTATGCTTCTTAAAAGCTAGGATGGTGAGAGTTCATCATGAATACTTCTGGTGGCCAATCTCTGGAGAAGGATATCATGCTTGTTAGAGGGTCAGTGAAAAAGAGGAAGACCCTCAATGAGACGGACTGACACAGTGGCTGCAACAACGGGCTCAAGCACAGCAGAGATGGTAAAGATGATACAGGACCAGGCAGTGCTTTGTTCTGCTGTAGGTAGGACTGCCAGGAGTCAAAGCCAACTCAAAAGCATCGAACAACAACAACTATCAGAAAAGTGTAAGCCAGAAAAATGAACAAAGAATTAAAGCAGTGTAAAGCAAAATATACAATGTAATTTTCGTTAATGCCCATAGCCCAAAAGTACAAGAATGAATTAGTGCTAAAAATAAAAAGCACTTTAAAAAAGTTGATACGAATTACCACACACCATGATTCACATGTATAGGTGAACATGCTATACAGATGAAGGGAAAATAAATTAGATAATCAGTCTTAATACAAAACTGAAAAATAAATCTACAGTATTTTAGGTAACATGTTAAGTTCATACTGAGTTTTTTCCTACTATTTCAAAGTAGAATTTTAAATGATATATTTTATGTACAATAGATATTTATTTGAATCCTTTAAAGAAGCCATAATTTTAATTGTAATGAATATTTCTGAATAGACAATCCATATCTGTTTGCATATCAGACAAGTAACTGAAATTCATTTCAATTAAGCCTGGATTAGCAACATCCCTCTAGCAAAACTACAGACTAACAGCATTTAGTACAATCGGAGGGTCCACTTTATAAACTCATATATTTTAGGTTTCTTTCTTGTATCCATGCACAAGAAGTAGAGATAGATCATGTCACTAAAACTGTTTAGTCCTTAAGGGTCCCAGGAACAATAGATGAAACTCTGAATGAAATCTCTACCCCAAAAAAACTCTGTGTGTGTGTATGTATATATATATATATATATATATATCTATATCTATATCTATCTATCTATCTATCTATCCATCTCATATCATAGGAATGGGCAAGATTTCAATTTGTTGTTTAAAACTATGAGCCAGATCCAGAGATCAGACAATGAGACAATATATATATATATGCAAGCTATCATTTACAAATGAGAAGTTTGTCAAAGATCTATCTTTGATATGATAGTTTTCCCTAAACTATTGTTCTAGAACCCTCCTAGTCTTCTGCTACATCAACCTTAAGAGGTAAACAACTTTCCTTACCTTCATCAATGTGGAGGGTCCTTTGTTTCTTGAGATCTTGGAACCCATTTGTCAGTCCTCTGCTAGGAGCAAGCAGCCCCCTACTCAAGACAGAAAGCCTACAAAACAAGATAAAACACATTTAGAGTAGGTTCTTTGAGTTCTTTCCTGGAAACTTCAAAAGCCGATGACTCTTCCCAGAGTACTTGGCCATATCATGCCCTTATCATACATTCTTATAAAGGTTTATAATTGTTTCACGATTACATGTATATTTCCATCTATGGATACTCCATAAATTATCTTTACAACTAGAATAAACATTCCTTAAGAGCAAAGACCAGTTAGGCAATTATCTACAAACAAAAAGTTCGACCAAATTTAACAGGTTTATTCTATGTTATTAGCTCCAGAAGCCCAGAATCAATCTGGTAAACATTTATTTTGCTCTTAACTGTTGTTGTTTTTGTTGTGTACCACTGAGTCAGAAATGACCCATAGTTGACTCTCTAGTGAGTTTTCAGAGGCAGTCAATTGCACAGGAGGAGACTGTCCATCCTTTTCCACAAAGCAGTTGGTGGCCTCAAACCGCGTGCCTTCTGTATTGCAGTGAAGCTTCTTACCACTAGGTCACCATGTTGTTGTTGTTGTTATGTGCCGTCGAGTCGTTTGCGACTCATAGCGACCCTATG